TTTGAGAATTACGGTCAAACTGTTCAGGAGAGATGTTAGGAAGCATTTCTACACACCAAGGGTGGGAGAGGTTTGGAACTCTCTTCATCAAATGGCGTTGGATGCTGGAGCAGTTGTTAATTTTAAATCTGAGAGTGATAAATTTTTGTTAATCAAAGGCAGTAAGGGATATGGGCCAAAGATAGGGATATGGAGTTAGACTATACATCAGGCATGATCTCATTGAATGGTGGAACAAGCTTGAGGGGCAGAATGGCCAATTCTGGTTCATGTATTCAACAAAAAAAAAAAAAAAAAATTCAGCAGTACTCTCGTTCTGTACAACCAAATTACAGAATTATTCACATTCAATATTTATAATCAATTGAATGTTTGGCATATTAGTTTCTCCTGCCTCTGCTGACATAGTCAGTCTGTGTGGGTGTCAGAAAGGTTCCGTGTGTTCTTGTCATTTACTCCTCAAATCCATCATCACTGAATATGAAGTCTCTCAGATTTATTAAATCTACAGTTCTTAATGGACATTTAAAAAGAAACAGCACTTAACTGGGTCTTGTGGTTTATTTGTGGGCTGGAACTCGATTGCATCAATCTTGAAAGTTGGTTATACATATTGATCAGAACTTAAATCGAATTCAATGTAGAAACAGGAGTAGGCCATTCAGCCCCTTAAGTGTGTTCTGTCATTCATTGAGATCATGGCTGATCTGTGGTCTAACTCCATTTGGCCTAATTAGTATTTCTTCACCATTCTGAGGGTCCTGGCTTGTCTGGTTGCAGATTCAACCCCAGGTTCCTGTCCATGTTCTCTCCCCGTCCAACCCTCACCCATCCTTTCGCCCCTTCTGCACCCCCCCACCCTAACTCCCTTATCTTTAAAAAAATGCAACTCAGTCTCTGCCCTAACTCATCCTCCACTGTCTCCAGAGAAGGAATTGTCTTACTATGACAAATCCTTGAGAGGGGAAAAAAATTCTCATCTGCTGTAAAATACCTCATTCTCAAACTGTGCCGCAACAAAATGAAATGTCCTCCCAGTATTTACCCGGTCTAGTTCCCTCAGGATCTTATATGCTTCAATAAGATCAACTCACACCCCTTTTCCCTCAATCCATCTCAGAATCAGCAAGACACAGAGGCATAGAAGGGGGCTGTTCTGCCCATTAGTTCTGTGCCAGCTCTCTGTACAGACCAAGTAAACCTGCAGAGGTTTTAATGAATGCATGGGTGTTTTTAATTAATTTAAGAGGCATTTAAGACGGCATTAGATGATTATTTGCATAGAAAAAGTGTGCAGAGTAGTGGCAAAAAGGCAGAAGATTGGAACAATAGAACCAGTGCAGGCACAAATGGCCTACTGGGCCATGACCATTCTGTGGTTGTATAGAGCAATTTAATTAGTCCCATTCCTCCATTCCTTTCCTGTCACCTTTCAACTCTTATTTCCACCAAGTGCCCATTCTCTCTTCTTTTTAAAATTATCAGTTATCACTGGTGGGAGTTCCAGTCATTGTCACTTCCTGTGTAAAAATCCTCCTAATATTTCTTGTGCAAAATATTAGATCAGTGTCTCCTGATCTTTGTACCATCAGCTAATGGTAACAGCTTTTCTTTGTCTGCCTTATCTAAACCTGTCATAATACACCCTCAACCTGTGGTAAAATCCCACACCTTTCGGATATATGTGAAAAGTACTTGAGCCACATTTTAGGACTTGCTCCATAGAGCCATAACACTGGTTGTTGAATTCCATCATAACTCTGCCATATCTTTGATGGAATCCCTTTTTAATAAACACACCAATGGGCTTTCCCCCTTACCTCCAAAATGAATAGTGGAGGTGCAGGAAGGACCCATGCAAAATGCACACAGCAGCATTTCTCATTGAATCCATACTATGCAAAAAGAAGCCAGACCCCTACCACACTCTCTGTAACTCTGCATGGGGTTTTTACCATGGCTAGCCCCACCTGACCTACACACCTTTGGACTGTGGGAGGAAACCCAGAGGCACAGGGAGAACATGCAAACTCCACACAGACAGACATCGCCCAAGGCTGGGATTGAACCTGGGTCCCTGGCACTGAGGTAGCAGTGCTAACCACCATGCCGCCCTTCATCTTTCACACCTATTCATCTGCCCCTCGCTGTTCGATTTCTTTTTTGGGAGGGAAGGGGTATGGGGTTAGTCTTCACCTCAGCACTCAACCCGAACTGGATTCTGTGCAGATTATGCAGTAAAAACATTTAACCTGGCACTGAGCAGCTCCCTTATTAACAGCCTCCAACTAGAATTTATAAAACACCCTCACCTCATCAGGATGCCTCAAAAGTGCTCTCCAGCCTATGAAATAATTATGAAGTGTTGTTATAATGTAGGAAGTTTAGCAGCCAATTTGAGCACAGTAAATTCCCACACATTTCAATAAGACAGTATAATAATCTATTTTGGTAAAGCTATTTGAGGGATAAATATTTACCAGGATCGGGGAGAACTCAGTTGCTCTTTTTTTGAAATAGTTCAATCTGATTTTCTTACACCTATCTGTGAGAAAAGACAGATCTCAGTCTAATGTATCATCAAAATGACAGCACTGATGACAGTGCAGCACTCCCTCATGTCATAATAAATTATAATCCCAAATTACTTAAATATATTAAATGATTAAGTAACTTAAGACTACAAGCCAAAAAAATGACTCAATGCAAATTCAACAGCTGGCTGTAACATTTCTGTATTGATTACACCTATTCCTGACAGGAACTGTGGAATGTCGCACACAATGAGTGTCAAGGGAACTTAAACAACAACACTTCAAACAGAGGGGTACCAGTCCAAAAACTGAACCATGATCCCTGAGCTACAAAGATAATGAGGGTCTGATTATCTCTTCTCTCAGTAGGAAATGTATGTGGATGCTTTGGGGAGGGTACAGAAAAGGTTTACCAGGATATTGTCTGGTATAGGGAATTTTACCTATGAAGAAAGTTGTATAGACTGGGTTTGTTTACACTGGAACACAGGAGGTTGAGGGACAACTTGCCAGAAATTTCAAAGATTGTGAATGATATGGATAGAGTGAAAAGTATGAGGCTTTTTCCTCATAGGAAGGGTCAGTTGCTCAGGGACACAGGTTCAAGGTGCGAGAGGGAAGTTTAAAAAGAGATGTGTGAGGCAGATTTTTCACACAAAGGGTGGTGGGTGCCTGGAACGCGCTGCCAGAGGTGGTGGTGGAAGCAGACAATAGCAGCATTCACAAGCACCTGGATGAGTACATGAATAGGAAGGGAATAGAGGGATACGGATCGTGTAAGTGAAGACAGTTTTAGTATGGAAGGACAAAATGTGTCAGCGCAGGCTTGGAGGGCCAAAGGGAAAATTCCTGTGCTGTATTGTTCTTTGTTCTTTATCTCCTCTGGGTTGTGTCCTAGACTCTGCACATGATATGAATTGAAACAAAGATAGTTCTGGGCAAAAGACATACTTGTGTTTTATGAGATAGCACAGTGTGGAGCTGGAGGAACACAGCAGGCCAGGCAGCATAAGAGAAGCAGGAAAGTTGATGTTTTGGGTCGGGACCCTTCTTCAGAAATGGGGAGGAGGAAGGGAGCTCCGAAATAAATAGGGAGAGGAGGTGTGAGGCTGGGGAAGGTAGTTGGGAAGGTGATAGGTCAGTGCAGGTAGAGAGTGGTGGGGATTGGTCAGTAGGGTGGGAGGGATGGATAGGTGGGAGAGATGATGGACAGGTTGTGTCAGGTCAAGGAAGTGGGGATGAGAGGGAGGGTTGGACATGGGATGAGGCCGGGCATGGGGAGATTTTGAAACTGATAAAATCCACATTGAGACCATTGGTCTGTGGGCTCCCGAGGCGGAATATGAAGTGCTGCTCCTCCAGTTTCCAGGTGGCGTTTCCAGGAGGCCCAGGATGGACATGTCACCAGGGAGCGGGAGGGGGAGTTAAAATGGTTCGCAACCGGAAGGTGTTGTCATTCGTTGCGAACCGAGCGCAGCTGCTCTACAAAATGGTCTCCGAGTCTCCGCTTAGTCTCACTGATGTACAGGAGGCCACACTGGGAGCAGCGGATGCAATAGACCACATTGACGGATGTGCAGGTGAACCCCTGTCTAATGTGGAAGGTTTGTTTGGTGCCTTGGATGGAGGTGAGGGGAGAGGTGTAGGGCAGGTGTAGCACTTCCTGCGGTTGCAGGGAAAGGTGGTGGGGTCAATGGGGAGTGTGGACCAGACGAGGGAGTCATGGAGACAGCAGTCCCTACGAAAGGCAGATAGGGGTTGGGAGGGAAATATATCTTTGGTTGTGGGGTCAGATTGTAGGTGGCGGAAGTGACAGAGAATGATACGTTGGATGCGGATGTTGGTGGGGTGATACATGAGGACGAGGGGGATTCTGTCTTTGTTTTTGTTGGCTGAGGGGGTGAGGGCAGAGGTGTGGGTAAGAGATGCGGGGGGGGGCGTTTTCGTCTGTGGGGGGGGGGGGGGGGGGGGGAGAAGTTGTGGCCCTTGAAATACAAGGACATCTGGGATGTTCGGGAGTGGAACGCCTCATCTCAGGAGCAGATGCTGCGGAGGCGAAGGAATTGGGAGTAGGGGATCGCATTCTTACAGGAGGGTGGGTGAGAGGAGGTGTAGTCTAGGTAGCTGTTGGAGTTGGTGGTCTTGAAATAGATATCGGTTTCAAGGCGGTCACTAGAGATGGAGACAGACTCTTCCGCTGTTACACTGGCCCCATTCCCCACCTCTTCCTCCACTACATCAATGACTGTTTCGGTGCTGCCTCGTGCTCCCACGAGGAGCTTGAACAGTTCACCAACTTTACTAACACCTTCCACCCCAACCTCACGTTCACCTGGACCGTCTCTGATACCTCTCTCTCCTTCTTGGACCTCTCCATCTCCAAGCCTGTGGAATTCTCTACCACAGAAAGCAGTTTAAGTCAAAACATTGAATGTTTTCAAGAAGGAGTTAGTTATAGTTCTTAGGGCTGAAGGGTATGTGAAGAATGTAGGAACAGGGGACTGAACTGGATGATCAATGATCACAACGAAGAGCAGACTGAAAGGGCCTAATGTCCTACTCCTGCTTTCTATTTCTATGCTTCTAAGATTGTGCGCCCCTTCATTCTGGACTCTTGTCCTCGGTACAAAATAGTTTCATCCAGGATGACTTTGTTCGTATCTAAGTCAACACGGTCAGTTCCATCTGGTGATATTGGGATTACCAGAACAAGCTGTGCGGGCCTGGACCATGTTGCTGTGGGCTGTGTGTTGCTCCTGAGTGCTGAGGTGATGAATGACCATCAGGTACCTGTAGTTGCACACTCTCCAGTTCACATTGTGTTTGGTGAAGCGGCTGCTCGACAGCGCAGGGATACCAGCCGCTTCTGCCAGGATCCCAACGTACGCATCCTCAACGGGAATGGGGCGGACCCAGGCTGCTGCCCTCAGGATTGCAGCAGCTGCATCCAGAGAGAGCACGTAGCCCACCCCACTCAGGTAGGGAGGGTAGCGCTCTTTCCCGTAGTCCCGCCATGACACATACCATTTGTTCCAGGGATTCCGGATGACTTCCCGCTTCTCGGGTACAAACAGAGAGCCGGCGTAAAGGCCAGTCCGGATCGGATTGTCCCGGACCAGAAAGCGAGGCAGCCTGTCTGTGTTTACAAAGCAGTCATCATCAGTTTTGAGGATGTATAGAGGCCGACAAGTGCTCACTGCCCACTTTAACCCGTGCATGACTTTTAGCGTAAGGTTTCTGTAAGTATCCAGGTAGTTTCCCACCAACACATCTTGGAACACTTCCCGCTCCAATTGGATTAGGTCGGCTGCCCCTTCTCCCATGGCCTGGCCAACCAGGAAGACCACTTGCCAAGGGAAGGCACTCTCCTCCCAGCCCAGCGCCCATGTGTTGCGAATGGCATTCCTACGGTCAATGTTGGGCTGGGCAGATGTCACAAGGACCAGGAGGACCTGCCCCTTCTGGCAAGGAGGTGGGTCATGCCAGCGGCTGTGCAGAGCCTCAAAGTCGATCCCGGAGCTCTGGTCGACGACCTCGTCTTCGTCATCCTCGCTCTTCACTTGCTTCAGCAGAGTGTGGGGATCTGACCCACCAGAGTCCTCAGTCAGCCCACGGGTTGCGTGGAAACTTAGCACCAGAAAAGCAGACACCAGGAAAGACGCAAGCACAAGAACTTTAAAGTAGGTTTTTGACCCCATTGCTTCAACACAAACAGTTACAAATGTCTGCACGCACAGAGGAAATATTCACCTCCAGACTGCTCCGGTTAAAGACATGAGAGATCCAGGTTGGTTTGTACAGCTTCAGCCTTACAGCCAGATGCGGAATACACAGGGGTCGAAACATTCCTAAACATTCCTCTCAACTGCAGGACATTTCAAAACATATCACAGCCTAAAGCAGGTCAATTCAAGTCAAATCTGGAAATGCTGAAATCACAGTGGCCAGCATCTGTGGAGAGAGGGGAAACATAATTAAGTGATTGAATGGATGATCTTTCAGTGAAACTGGAAGAAGTTAGGGACAGAATGGTCTTTATTTTAAAAAGGAAAGCAAAGATAAAGGGGTGATAGAACATAGAACACAGAACATAGAACATTACAGCGCAGTACAGGCCCGTCGGCCCTCGATGTTGCACTGACCTGTGAAACCAATCTGAAGCCCATCTAACCTACACTATTCCATTATCATCCATATGTTTATCCAATGACCATTTAAATGCCCTTAAAGTTGGCGAGTCTACTACTGTTGCAGGCAGGGCATTCCACGCCCTTACTACTCTGAGTAAAGAACCTACCTCTGACGTCTGTCCTATATCTATCACCCCTCAATTTAAAGCTATGTCCCCTTGTGCTAGCCATCACCATCCGAGGAAAAAGGCTCTCGCTGTCCACCCTATCTAATCCTCTGATCATCTTGTATGTCTCTATTAAGTCACCTCTTAACCTTCTCCACTCTAACGAAAACAGCCTCAAGTCCCTCAGCCTTTCCTTATAAGACCTTCCCTCCATACCAGGCAATATCCTGGTAAATCTCCTCTGCACCCTTTCCAATGCTTCCACATCCTTCCTCTAATGCAGCGACCAGAACTGTACGCAATACTCCAAGTGCGGCCGCACCAGAGTTTTGTACAGCTGCAACATGACCTCATGACTCCAAAACTCAATCCTTCTGCCAATAAAACCTAACACACCGTACGCCTTCTTAACAACACTATCAACCTGGGTGGCAACTTTCAGTGATCTATGCACATGGACACGAGATCTCTCTGCTCATCCACACTACCAAGAATCTTACCATTAGCCCAGTACTCTGTATTCCTGTTACTCCTTCCAAAGTGAATCACCTCACTTTTCCGCATTAAACTCCATTTGCCACCTCTCAGCCCAGCTCTGCAGCTTATCTATGTCCCTCTGTAACCTGCAACATCCTTCCACACTATCCACAACTCCACCGATTTTGGTGTCATCCGCAAATTTACTAACCCATCCTTCTACGCCCTCATCCAGGTCATTTATAAAAATGACAAACAGCAGTGGCCCCAAAACAGATCCTTGAGGTACACCACTAGTAACTGAACTCCAGGATGAACATTTCCCATCAACCACCACCCTCTGTCTTCTTACAGCTAGCCAATTTCTGATCCAAACCGCTAAATCACCCTCAATCCCATGCCTCCGTATTTTCTGCAATAGCCTACCATGGGGAACCTTATCAAACGCTTTACTGAAATCCATATACACCACATCAACCGCTTTACCCTCATCCACCTGTTTGGTCACCTTCTCAAAAGAACTCAATAAAGGTTTGTGAGGCACGACCTTCCCTTCACAAAAACCGTGTTGACTATACCTAATCAAATTATTCCTTTCTAGATGATTATAAATCCTATCCGTTATAATCCTTTCCAACACTTTACCCACAACCGAAGTAAGGCTCACTGGTCTATAATTACCAGGGTTGTCTCTACTCCCCTTCTTGAACAAGGGGACAACATTTGCTAGTCTCCAGTCTTCTGGCACTATTCCTGTAGACAATGACGACAAAAAGATCAAAGCCAAAGGCTCTGCAATCTCCTCCCTAGCTTCCCAGAGAATCCTAGGATAAATCCCATCCGGCCCAGGGGACTTATCTATTTTCACACTTTCCAGAATTGCTAACACCTCCTCCTTATGAACCTCAATCCCGTCTAGTCTAATAGCCTGTATCTCAGTATTCTCCTCAACAACATTGTCTTTTTCCTGTGTGAATACTGACGAAAAATATTCATTTAGCGCCTCTCCTATCTCTTTGGACTCCACACACAACTTCCCACTACTGTCCTTGACTGGCCCTAATCTTACTCTAGTCATTCTTTTATTCTGGACATATCTATAGAAAGCTTTAGGGTTCTCCTTGATCCTACCTGCTAAAGACATCTCGTGTCCCCTCCTGGCTCTTCTTAGCTCTCTCTTTAGGTCCTTCCTGGCTAACTTGTAACTCTCAAGCGCCCTAACTGAGCCTTCACGCCTCATCTTTACATAAGCCTCCTTCTTCCTCTTGACAAGAGATTCAACTTCTTTCGTAAACCACGGTTCCCTCGCTCGACCACTTCCTCCCTGCCTGACAGGTACATACTTATCAAGGACACGCAGTAGCTGTTCCCAGAACAAGCTCCACATTTCAATTGTGCCCAGCCCCTGGAGTTTCCTTCTCCATCCTATGCGTCCTAAAGCTTGCCTAATTGCCTCATAGTTGCCTTTCCCCCAACTATAACTCTTGCCCTGCGGTATATACCTATCCCTTCCATCGCTAAAGTAAACGTAACCGAATTGTGGTCACTATCACCAAAGTGCTCACCTACCTCCAAATCTAACACCTGGCCTGGTTCATTACCCATTACCAAATCCAATGTGGTCTCGCCTCTTGTTGGCCTATCTACATATGTGTCAGGAAACCCTCCTGCACACATTCGACAAAAACTGACCCATCTAAAGTACTCGAACTATAGCATTTCCAGTCAATATTTGGAAAGTTGAAGTCCCCCATAACAACTACCCTGTTACTTTCGCTCCTATCCAGAATCATCTTTGCAATCCTTTCCTCTACATCTCTGGAACTTTTCGGAGGCCTATAAAAAACTCCCAACAGGGTGACCTCTTCTTTCCTGTTTCTAACCTCAGCCCATACTACCTCAGTAGACGAGTCCTCATCAAATGTCCTTTCTGCCACCGTAATACTGTCCTTGACTAACAATGCCACACCTCCCCCTCTTTTACCACCTTCCCTGATCTTACTGAAACATCTAAACCCCGGAACCTGCAACAACCATTCCTGTCCCTGCTCTATCCATGTCTCCGAAATGGCCACAACATCGAAGTCCCAGGTACCAACCCATGCTGCAAGTTCACGCACCGTATTCCGGATGCTTCTGGCGTTGAAGTAGACACACTTCAAACCACCTTCCTGCCTGCCGGTACACTCCTGCGACCTTGAAACCTTATTCTTGACCTCACTACTCAACCTCCTGTACACGAGCTACAATTCAGGTTCCCATCCCCCTTCCGAATTAGTTTAAACCCCCCCGAAGAGCATTAGCAAATTTCCCCCCCAGGATATTGGTACCCCTCTGGTTCAGGTGTAGACCATCCCGTTTGTAGAGGTCCCACCTACCCCAGAATGAGCCCCAATTATCTAGGTATCTGAATCCCTCCCTCCTGCACCATCCCTGTCGCCACATGTTCAACTGCTTTCTCTCCCTATTCCTCGCCTCGCTAGCACGTGGCACGGGTAACAAACTAGAGATAACAACTCTTTGTTCTAGCTCTAAGCTTCCACCCTAGCTCCTTGAATTTCTGCCTTACGTCCCCATCCCTTTTCCTACCTATGTGGACCACGACTTGGGGCTGCTCCCCTCCCCCTTAAGGATCCCGAAAACACGATCCAAGACATCACGGACTCTGGTACCTGGGAGGCAACACACCAACCGCGAGTCTCTCTCGTTCCCACAGAATCTCCTATCTGTCCGCCTAACTATAGAGTGCAAGACTTAGTAACAATGCAGGTTTAAAAAAAAAAGAGACGTCCAAAAGAAGGTATAAATGGCTACGACACAATCAGTGCCCCGTCCCAGGAAATGGAAATAATATGAATTGTAGAATATGAAAGCTCCGAATTGCCCAAAATGAAAGACGTAGTGTTGTTCCTTGAGCTTAAGCTGAACTTCACCACAATAGTGTAGGACAGAGAAACAGTGCAGGTCTGTAGGTTCAGAGGGAATTTATGTTCCAAAGCACAGTTGCTTATAATGTTGGGGGAGTGAGAAAAAAAACAGGGAAATAGAACAGGTCAGCAAACTGCCACTTAGTAAAGGATGAGATTCCTCACATTTTCCCCCTCAGTCAGCAAGTTACTGAAGTAGTCCTATCTTTGCTGACCTCTGCCTGGCTCAGTGGGATAGATTTTTAAGGGAGCAGGAATGAGAGAGAGAAAATAATCAGTGCATTGGGTTAGAATGAAGTGGATTGTGCAGCATTCAACCATCAGCGTAGTGTCTCACTGATTGACAGGGCACATGCATACACAGGGCTCTGAAGCAGTAACTGTCGAAGGGCAGGGGAGAGGGGACTTAGCCAGTCATTGTGAATCAGTTGTCCTGATGGAAGTCAAGGACTCCTCCTGAAACAAATCAAAGATTCGGCCTGCCCTTTCTCCGCTGTTATTGGTATAAAAAGCAGCAAACACAGATTAAGTGCAATTGTTCTAGCTAGCCACTCTCACGTTGACTTTATAAATTTTAGATAATTTAGTATTTGTAGACTCTCCTTATAAGTTAACATAAGAAATAGGGTATTCGGTCCATCGATAAGATTGTGGTTGCTCTGAAAATTGTAATTTCCATAGAGGTGTTTCTGCCAGAAGTTCACATTCTCTTCAAGCAGTCCCATAACACTAATTAATCTTTGTTTCCTGACCAGGAATTGAATCCAAGCCACAGAGGTGAAAGTACCGATTCTAAACTATACACCACCAGGGAACATAAGAACTAGTGGCAGGAGTAGACAACTCAGCTCCTCAGCCGATCTCATTCCTCCTTAAGTTTACACAATGTCCTGGCATCCACTGATCTTTGGGGGAAGTGAACTCCACAGACTCATGACCCTTTGAGAGAACTAATTTCTCCTCATCTCTGTTTTAAATCTGCTATCCCTTATCCTAAAACTATCACCTCTCCTTCTGGATTGTCTCGCAAGGTGAAACATCCTCTCTACATCTGCTTTCCCAATCCCCTTTAGCATCTTACAGACCTCAGTTAGATCTCCTCTCATTCTTCTAAACTCCAGAGAGTAGAGGCCTAAACTATTCAAGCTCTCTCCATAAAACAAAAATCCTCACTTCTGGAATCGATCTAGTGAACCGTGAACCTCCTATGAACTGCCTCCAATGCAGATTACATCCCTCCTGAAGTAAGGGATCAAAGGGAAAGTGCAGACTTCAGAAATTATTCTGGTAAGGCTAAACTGTGTTCCCTCCAAGGCCAATGTGTCAGGCACAAAGCCAGTACAAACTCAGGCAGGAGTTTGTGCACTAACTTGTCGCAACCTCAGAAACAGCTTATAGTGCTAGTACTATTCATACAGCAGCTTCAGTATAACAAAACAAAGGAATCTCTCAGGAGCATTAGAGAGGAAAAGAAGATGCTGAGCCACATAGGGGCTGGAGATCAAACCATCAAAAGCCTGGTCAAAGAGGCAGGGAAGGAATTCCAAAGTGTATGGCCTAGCAATTTCCGAGCTGTATGACTCTATTACTGGCTCTAATCAACATTGGGTCTCTGTAGAGACTAGAGGACAAATGAGTACAGATATGTTAGTGGGTTGCAGGGCTGGAAAGTTTGAGATAGAGAAAGTCACAGCGATCTTTCAATATCGAAGTATGGTGTCATGAAGATGGAGAGAGGCGAGTGTGGGTGTAAACGGGATTTGGTGAGAATTAAGCACAGTATTGGAGTTTACAGGGTGGATTGTCAGAGGGGGTTGACAGTGCACTGACTGGTTGAGTGGTGTAGAGGCAGTGGCAGGAGCTGCTACAGAATCTGATAATGTCATGGTCTTAGCGATGGCTCAGGGAGGCTCAATGTGGGGACAAGTCCAACACCAAGGATGCAAATTGGTTCCGTTTCTGGTATTCACTTGTGGGACATGGGAAGTTGCTGGCTAACCAATATTTACAACATTGACAGACTACCTTAAAGGAGTCCTGAAGAAGGGTCATACCCGAAACGTTGACTGCTCCTTTCCTCCAGATGCTGCCTGGCTTGCTGTGTTCTTCCAGCCTCCTGTTTGCCTACCTTGGATTCTAGCATCTGCAGTTTTTTTTGTCTCTACCTTAAAGGAGAACGAGGCACAGGCAGCAAATACTGGCTCAGTCAGTGACAGCCAAGTCCCACCAGTGAATTTAAAAAAAAAAAACATTTTTCAGGCAGAAATTTGGGATCAATGGCTAGAGAATTCCGTCTGTGAGACAAATCTGTTCACCCAGGTCCGGAAACCTGGCTGGAGGCGCACAGATTCAAACATGCGGGCCGGGGAAGATTACAGTCAATTCACTGGGCAGACAGTGACATGCTCACAGAGTTAACACAAACTCTCAGGCAAATCCTGCTCAGACTTCCCACAAACTCACAGCAGCCCAGATACAGGCCAGCAGGCTGCACACTGCTCCCTGTCCATACCCACGCCAAGCCCCAGTACAAACCTCAGCACAGAGCCAGCAGAGGGAAGAGCTGCAAGGGCCTTTCTCACCCTCTCTCTGGTCCTGGTTTCACTTCTCACCGACAAGCCAGTCTCTCCAACTTTCTGCTGTCTGACGCACCCCTCCCCTGTGATGGGCAGCAAGCTGGCAGGCTCACAGCCAATAGTGTGAGGAGGCTGTGTGAGGAATTGTTACATTCCTGGGAATCTAGGACACTGTTTAACTGGTTCATTTGATCCTGGAGGGATAGTGAACTGCACTGAATTACCTCAATTTGGGAATTAATTCAATTTAAAATGAACATTATCACATGAGAAGAAGTTTATTTTAAGAGCTAAGAGGGTCAGAACAAGATTGTTGAGCCTTAATGTTCCTAAGTCCGAAGGGTTTTCCTTTACGGTGATATAGTCCACAGGTCTGTGTTTCTTAAAGGAATCTAACCTGTTTTATAACGGATTACAGAAGTTGCCTTGTTGTTCAGATTAAGTTTTGTTGTGAGAAATGTGAAACATACAAGCATGGCTGTAAACAAAAACACTGTCTGCCTCCAGCTCCAAATTGCCCTTACACAGCAGCTACAAGAGCAGGCCAGAGGCTAGGAATACTGCAGCGAGTAACTCACCTCCTGACTTCCCGAAAGCTTGTCCACCATCTACAAGGCACAAGTCAGGAGTGTGATGGAATACTCCCCACTTGCCTGGATGGGTGCAGCCCCATCAACACTTGAAGCTTGACACCATCCAGAACAAAGCAGCCTGCTTGATTGGCACCACATCCACAAGCATTCACTCCCTCCACCACCGACGCTCAGTAGCAGCAGTGTGTATCATCTACAAGATGTACTGCAGAAACTCACCAAAGATCCTGAGGCATATGACCCCCACCATCAAGAAACAAAGGCATTGCCTTCCAAACCCACGACCACTTCCAGCTAGAAGGACAAGGGCATCAGACATATGGGAACACCATCCCCTGCAAGTTTCCTTCCAAGCCACTCACTATCCTGACTTGAAAACGTATCATTGTTCCTTCACAATCACTGGGTTAAAAGCCTGGGAATTCTCTCCCTCACAGCATGGGGGATGTCTCTACACCAAATGGACTGCAGTGGTTCATGAAAGCAGCTCAGCACCACCTTCTCCAAGGTATAGCTGGTGACGCCAACATCCCAAGAATGACTTAAAAAAAAGTTCCTGGCACAATCAAGCACAAAGGTCCCTATACAAATAAAACCCAAACACAGCCCCAACACGAGCCCACACCAAGCCCCAGTACAAACCTCAGCACGGAGCCAGCAGAGGGAAGAGCTGCAAGGGCCTTTCTCACCCTCTCTCTGGTCCTGGTTTCACTTCTCACTGACAAGCCAGTCTCTCCAACTTTCTGCTGTCTGACACACCCCTCCCCTGTGATGGGCAGCAAGCTGGCAGGCTCATAGCCAATAGTGTGAGGAGGCTGTGTGAGGAATTGTTACATTCCTGGGAATCTAGGACACTGTTTAATTGGTTCATTTGATCCTGGAGGGATAGTGAACTGCACTGAATTACCTCAATTTGGGAATTAATTCAATTTGAAATGAACATTATCACATGAGAAGAAGTTTATTTTAAGAGTTGAGAGAGTAAGAACAAGGAGTGTTAAGCTTAATGTTCCTCAGTCTGAAGGGTCCTCCTTTACAGTGATACATTTCTCACAGAAATCAGACCTGTTTTCTAACATTAGAGGGCTGCCTTATTGTTAGGATTAAGTTTGGTTTGTCTGAAATGTGCATGGCTGTAAACCACCCAGTGTCAGCCTGGAACGTTCCCCAAAACACTTTCAGCCTCCAGCCCCAAACCCATTCACAGCCCCCACCGTAGCCACAAACCCACTCACTGATACCCCACCCCCAGTACCAAAGCCACATACAATCACCCCTCAAACCCACGCACAGCCCCCAGCACAAACCCACGCACAGCCCCCAGCACAATGTTGTAGAAGAGACCCAGGACAAAATGAATCCCCCACCAAGGCTGAAATAAACATACCAGCTGCCGTAGCCTCAGCTGAGAGTCAAACACTAACCACAACCACAGGTTCCAACTGCAGGAACCAAGTTCCTGTGGTTGAGCTGCCGTTGGTGTCAGTCACTGTGATGAACAACAAGGGCGATTATTCAAAGGACAGCACATCTCAGCATGTGGCCATGCTGCTTAAGAGTACACAGGAACAGAGCAACCGTGCACCCTTATGACAGACAAGCAGAACAAGGCTGGGAGTACAGGTAAAGACCCTGAGTGAGTACATTTTGCTGTCCAGCTGTATTCAGTTCTAAGGTGTGATGAGGGCGTTGGTTCCTTTGGGGAGTGCAGTCAGAGCCAAGAATCTGAGACAAGGTGCAGGGCTGGATGAACACAGCAGGCCAAGCAGCATCATAGGAGCCGGAAGGCTGACGTTTCGGGCCTAGACCCTTCATCATTCGCCTGCTGTGTTCATCCAGCTCTGCACCTTGTTGTCTCAGATTTTCCAGCATCTGCAGTTCCTACTATCTCTGATACAATTTTAACCCCACTGCGAAGCCTCCACAGAATCTGGGTCAGCTAAACTGTGCAGAATGGGCAGGGAATGACTGAAAAAGCAATGATACTAGAGGATTCAATAATTTTTTTAAAAATCAGACATGACTCTAGGATTTCATGTTGTTTTCCTGGTGCCAGACTCAAAAATATCACAAAGGCTGAAAAACATCTGAGGAGGAGCACCACGACCTGCTAGTTTCCCTTCAAGCCACTCACGTTCCTGACATGGAAATATGTCGCCGTTACTTCAGTGTCGCTGGGTCACTATCCTGGAATTCCCTCCCTAAGGGCATTGTGGGTCTACCTACAGCACATGGACTGCAGCGGTTCAAGAAGGCAGCTCACCACCACTTTCTCAAGGGGCAACTAGGGACAGGCAATAAATGCTGGACCAGCCAGCGACTCCAATGTCCCATGAGTGAAAAATGCAAGAACAAAAACAAAACCAGGTAGCATTATAGGGAGTGTCAATAGCCTTAATATCAAACCTGATAACCAGAGTAGAGGTACAGTGTGGATAATTTCTTAAAATGCATTCAAGAGAAATGTTTTCAAACAAGCCCAACAAGGAATCATTTGGGACCTAGTTTTAGAAAAATGGAGCTGGGCAGAAGCCAGAGGCCCTGAGGCAATACTCACTATCAGTGCCAAAGACACAGGCTAAAAGTGAATTGAGTTTCTTGCGTTTAAAGTTCAGAGAGCTATAATCATAGACTCACAGTATGAAGGGAGGATATCTGAAGAAATTAATAATATGAATCTCAACCTTTGGATTACTTCCAGCACCATGCATGAGTGAGTACAGAAGTAGGAGGATATAGCAGATGAATGTACGCAGAGATGGTAAAAGAGAGAGAGCTTTAGAGTCCAGAAAACCAGGAGCAGTTCTGGGGGAGGCAGGACCTGTACAGGTCAAACAGGTTGCACCTCATATGGATCAGGACCAACATTTTGTCAGGGAGGTTTGCTTGGATTGTTAGCGTGGGTTTAAAGGATAGACAATTGTACTGTCGATCAGTTAGCGGCCAATAAACGAGCAAATAAGTGCCAAAATCACTGAAAAGTGCAAGGTTTCAACTATCTTAATATCACCCCTAATGAATTCAATCCAAGAGATACAGAGTTTGCAGCTTTCAAACATATTTGGGAGAACTTTCATTAGATAATGCGTGACAAGCCAGACAAGAAAGGAACCATTCAAGAATATGGTTTTAAGAAATAAATCTGGGCAGCTGCCAACCCCAATGGGAGTCATCAATAGTCAGTTAGATTTGGAGTTGTTATGGAAACAAACAAGGGTAGAGCAGGATTAAAAGTTTCAAAATGGAGAATTGCCAATCGCTGAGATGCAATTTGGAAAATGTGGACTGGACATAGTGAATTGAAGGTAAACTGACATGGAATACATTAGGAAAACAGTGAGCAAATTTGAAGAGCTATTGGCAACTAAAATCAAAGAAATCCTGAAGACTTGTTTTTAAAGCGCATGCAGAACAACAGGCTACCTAAAGAAAGGGTTTGTTTAACTAGAGACCAGAATGTGACTTGTGTGTGGGGATGGATAGATGAGCATGCTTCTCAATTAATACTTTACACAATAGAAAGGAAATGAAAGCAAACATTGCTGTTAAGAAAGGGAGCATGAAATATTAAATGGGATTAACAGAGTGAGGGAGGAAATCTTTTGTTTATTGCAATCATGAAATGTGAATGTCACTGCCTGAACCAGCTTTTAATGCCCATCCATAATTGCCCTTCAGAAGGTGCCAGTGAGCTGCTTCCTTGAGATGTGGAGATATCCACAAAACCGTGAGGGAGGGAATTCCAGGATTGTGACCCAGTGACAGTGAACGAACAGCAATATATTCCCAAGCCAAGCCTGGAGGGGAACTTGCAGGTGAGTTTTTTTTGGTAAACCTATTTTCCTAATCAGTCTGCTCAGAGATGTTATTACACACCTCTGGAACAGATAGGACTTGAACCCAGGCTGCCTGGTTCAAAGGTAAGATATTACAACTGCACCAGAAGAGCACTTCAGACCAAGTTTTATCTTTTTAACCCCTCCCCAGAGTGTTATAACACACAACCTGATGCCTTCCACCACCAGAATGACTATGATATTCTTTTTAAATAGTAACCCCCACCCAGGTGAGTCACCAATTGAGTATTTACTAGCAAAGCCCATTATGGACAATAACTTGCAGGTGGGGAATCTGCTGCATCGGTATTGTCTTCCTTTTAAGGTAATTATCCACTGACCACATGAATACTTCAATCGAACCTGCCTCCAACTCATTCTCAGGCAGTGCCTTCCTGTTGAAGGAGCATTGTGGTTTGCTGCGTTGCATCTTATGCTTGGTACAACTTGTATAATCCAGTGGCTTGAAGGGGTTAATTTGGAAGTTTTGGAATTGGGTTGTCTGCTGATAAAGAAGTGTCTGTGTCTGGGGGGAAGCTAGTGCATTTGTTGTTTGTTCTTAAATCAGTTCTACAACGATGTAGCATTGACCTAGCTACTATCTCTTAGGGAATAATAAT